ACTTTTTAGAAATAAAAAAACAATGTGCCATGTGCACAACATTCTATGGTGGTATGTGTATAATTATACTTGTCAAGAAAATTCCGTAAAATGTGCATGGTGCAAGAATCTAATATTTATTCTAAAAATATTAATAAGTAATATTTATAATTGGAGTTATCTTCCTTTGTCCAATTAATACAATTGCTTTCCAATACTTAAAGGGGCCTTGGTGGCCAAGTGGTCTAAGTAGTAGAACTACTGTATCACTAGCCAGTCAACACTGAGGTTGTGAGTTTGAATCCCACATGTGGTAGGGGAACTAAATATTATTTTTTTTTATATATATGCACATCCATGGCTCTACAATCTGTCAATACATACATCTTGGCATTGCACAACATCATGTTTTTCTCTGATGGTATGGGTATTGCTCATTGTTGAAGACCGTACGGTGACCTATAGCTGTTAACTTCTATGTCATTTGGTCTCTGTTGGAGAGTTGTCTCATTGTCAATTATACCACATCTTCTTATTTTTATATCTACTCCAATCTTAAATGACTAATATTGTCAGTTTTCCTACTTAAGGATAGTGGTTCTCTCCAACCACTCCAACTTCTTCCACCAATAAAAATTTACCACCACAAAATAGCACAATAGTACTGAAAGTGGGGTTAAACGCCAATCAATTAATCCAAATGCTTAATACAATGCACTGTTCAATTTTTAGTCCCCACTGCAAAATGGATACAATCTTTACCTGTCAGTGCTCATTGAAGGTTTTTCTCATCAACAAACCTAAGTTTCAAGTTGGAAAGACCTTCAGTTGTTTTGGTGTTTAATTATTTTTTTCTTCCTTTCTTCCAAGAAAATGAAAAGGGATTTCCTCTTCAAAATATCAAACAGTATATCTGGATAACAATAAAAGTTTAGTTATGTATTTGAAAATAAATCAATGTTAGTACTTAGTACAGTATCTTTTTCATTACTGAAGTAGGCTTTATATATTTTTGCAGGCAGATTTTTAGAAGGACCAAAGGTTTTTTTTTTAAGAAGTTTATAGAAACTCAGCCAACTAACTCACAAACTGAATAAAGTCCAAAGGAATACATGTATAGCTTTTTAGTGAAATATAGAGTTTACATACAAAATAAAATCTGTCAAGTAAAATGTACTAAACACTGTTCAAATATAAAATTTCATCACCACTTGCAGTAGGAATTAAACTGATGACATCATGAACAGGATTATTCATAATTGTACCCATTTTTTGTTGCCATGACGCTTACCATTTAAAAAAAGACTTTAAAGGGGCTTTTTTACAAAATTTTTAGAAAGCATAATTTGAAAAAAAGAAAGTTTAGATATTTTTGTTTAAAAATTTACAAAAGCAGAATTTTGAAATAATAATTGTCCATTTTGTTGACTGATTTTGCCCACAAAAAGCATTCTTATATAGGTATAACAATGATTTATATAATTGTTTTTAAATCTATGACATTTAATCAAATAGATCTAGGAAAATAGTCAGAAAACTATTCGGTGTGCTTGTTTGTGTATTTATATTTGGTCACATGACCATCAACAGTCTTTGGAGGTCATCTCCATGGTTAATTAGGAGGTTAGTCCTAAAATATGCACAAGATGTTGATACTTTATAATAATCTCATGCATTGTTTATTGCTTCCTTTTGTGATCTTGGAAATATTTTATTACTGGTATGTTTTAAATCAATGCCCATTAACATACAACATTGGAATTATGGTGATTATTAAGGAAAGTTTCAGAATGCATATAGTATTATTTGTTATGCTCCTTGCCACTAAATATCATGGTCATATTATGTTACCTTTGTCTGCCATATGTCCTTTTGTCATTCTGAAATCAAACAGTTGTCCAGACTTTTTATAGACCCATCAAGGACACAAAATATCATGGTATACCCTTATAGTCTTTTTGTAAGTCCAAATGTCGTACAAAAGCAAGAGAATGCTGTGATCAAAATCAAAGAAACTTTTAAACAATATTTGAATCAGTGAAAGAAAACTCTATTTCTATTGTGAAAAAAAATCGATTTGTTCAGAGTTAAGGGAAATTAACTGTCAGTTGAAGGCAATTTTTCACATATTATGCACTAACTTGAACGAGGTCTCAACATACAAATTTGAGTACAGATGTTCGACGTGGGTTAAAAAACCACCCCAATTCATATATTGATTTACACGAAAATCACTACCCATTCATATATTTCATAAGAAAATCATAACCTATTTATATATATTTTCCAGCTATCATGACATCTTATATAGACGTTAACCACATGGGATCATTCCTATTATTAGATAAAAAGATCTGAATACAGTTTTTACAGACATCTTAACAGAAGATGAACATTAATGACCCATTTACATGTAAATTTCTACCCATTGATATATTACCTCTTTCAAATTGCACCCCATTGATATATTTGGAATTCCAAAAAAGTTACCAATACCAACGGCACATCTGTGTATACTCCCCCTGTGAACATGAAAATGCTTGGATCCATTTATATGAAACTTTACACCATAAATTGGATAAGTAAAATACCTTTTAAAAATTTTATGAATTTCCGTTTCAGAGTTATGGTGTTTTAACAGCTAAATGCCAGGCAATTTTGGTACACGTAAGGAAATTGTCCTGCAAGTTTTAGTGCCACGCCATTTAACTGACTTCCACTCCCCCTGTGAACATGAAAATGCTTGGATCCATTTATATGAAACTTTACACCATAAATTGGATAAGTAAAATACCTTTTAAAAATTTTATGAATTTCCATTTCAGAGTTATGGTGTTTTAACAGCTAAATGCCAGGCAATTTTGGTACACCTAAGGAAATTTTCCTGCAAGTTTTAGTGCCACGCCATTTAACTGACTTCCACTCCCCCTGTGAACATGAAAATGCTTGGATCCATTTATATGAAACTTTACACCATAAATTGGATAAGTAAAATACCTTTTAAAAATTTTATGAATTTCCATTTCAGAGTTATGGTGTTTTAACAGCTAAATGCCAGGCAATTTTGGTACACCTAAGGAAATTTTCCTGCAAGTTTTAGTGCCACGCCATTTAACTGACTTTTTATGTGCAACTTTTCAACTTCCCTTTTTGTGTGTGTTATACCAGTAGATATTGCTTTGATTATTTAAAATACATTAGAACAGGATGTTGACTTACAGATTGACTTTGGCTTTCATTCCAGTTGACTGACTTTTAATTGGCAATTATTCTTGTCTGGACTATTTTTAGCTCACCTGACCTGAAAGGTCAAGTGAGCTTTTCTCATCACTTTGCGTCCGTCGTCCGTAAACTTTTACAAAAATCTTCTCCTCTGAAACTACTGGGCCAAATTTGACCAAACTTGGCCACAATCATCATTGGGGTATCTAGTTTAAAAAGTGTGTCCGATGACCCCGCCAACCAACCAAGATGGCCGCCATGGCTTAAAATAGAACATAGGGGTAAAATGTAGATTTTGGCTTATATCTCTGAAACCAAAGCATTTAGAGCAAATCTGACATGGGGTAAAATTGTTTATCAGGTCAAGATCTATCTGCCCTGAAATTTTCAGACCAATCAGGCAACCCGTTGTTGGGTTGCTGCCCCTGAATTGGTAATTTTAAGGAAATTTTGTCGTTTTTGGTTATTATCTTGAATATTATTATAGATAGAGATAAACTGTAAACAGCAATAATGTTCAGCAAAGTATGATCTACAAATAAGTCAACTTGACCAAAATGGTCAGTTGACCCCTTAAGGAGTTATTGCCCTTTATAGTCAATTTTTAACCATTTTTCGTAAATTTTTGTAATCTTTTACAAAAATCTTCTCCTCTGAAACTACTAAGACAAATTTAACCAAAATTGTCCACAATCATCATTAGGGTATCTAGTTTAAAAAATGTGTCCGATGACCCTGCCCAAAAACCAAGATGGCCGACATGGCAAAAAAATAATACATAGGGTAAAATGCAGTTTTTGGCTCATATCTCTGAAACCAAAGCATTTAGAGCAAATCTGATGGTATAAAATTGTTCATTAGGTCAAGATCTATCTGCCCTGAAATTTTCAGACCAATCAGGCAACATGTTGTTGGGTTGCTGCCCCTGAATTGGTAATTTTAAGAAAATTTTGCAGCTTTTGGTTATTATCTTGAATATTATTATAGATAGAGATAAACTGTAAACAGCAATAATGTACAGCAAAGTTAGATCTACAAATAAGTCAACATGACTATAATTGTCAATTGACCCCTTAAGGAGTTATTGCCCTTTATAGTCAATTTTTTACAATTTTCATAAATTTTGTAAATTTTTGTAAATTTTTACAAAATATTTTCCACTGTAACTACTGGGCCAAGTTCATTATAGATAGAGATAATAGTAAGGAGCAAGAATGTTCAGTAAAGTAAGATCTACAAACTCATCACCATCACCAAAACACAATTTTGTCATGAATCCATCTGTGTCCATTGTTTAATATGCACATAGACCAAGGTGAGCGACACAGGCTCTTTAGAGCCTCTAGTTTGCAGTACCTGCTGATCTTGAGTGAATTTTTTGGTGCATCTTAATTATGGTTATAGTGTTCTTTTTATTTGTCCTTGTACATTTTTAACCTTTACTGTTTAGTTTACAAGTGAGAGATTTAGCTAGCTATAAAACCATGTTTAATCCACCATTTCCTTCATTAGGAAATGCCTGTACCAAGTCAGGAATATGACAGTTTTCCATTCGTTAGATGTGTTTGAGTTTTGATTTTGCCACTCTATAAAGGACTTTCCGTTTTGAATATCCCTTGGAGCTCGGTATTTTTGTTACTTTACTTTTTAGTGTATAAGATGACTTACAGATATAATTTACATCATGTGCATTTGGTTTCAGTTGACTGACTTTTGGAGATAAGGCTGGTACAATTTAACAAAGCATGTATACTAATAAGTTTCTACAGTGACAAAAGTTTCACATTTATTTTTTACAGTAAGACGTGTAAAAGTTTATCACAGAAAGGAAAAATTATTCCTCCATTTGATTCTTACAGAAAAGTAAGTTGAGATTCTTTAATAGTTTTTGTCATTTTAAGGCAAGGTATACATAATTGCATGCCTCTAGCTGAATTTGAGTTAGAAAACGTGTCATTAGTAATGCAAGTTATCTCCCTTACTTCAAGAGAGGAAAAATAGGCACACAACGGAGAAATTACCTCGTGTGTGTAACGGGGTATTTTCTAGGTAAATACAACACAAACGATGATCTAGGGTTCTTTTCTTTTAATACACTATATTTAGACCCTAAAACATATAACAACAAATAATAAATATTCACATGACAAGACAGTACATGTAACATATGGGCAAAGGGGAATAACTACAATTTATACTCATTCCTTTAAATATCTATATACTCAAATAAGCCCTTTACTCACAAAAATCTAACCCTTTAGTTAACTTTCCAATACAATATTCATATGTATCTCATAGTAATAAATAATTATATACATCTCAAATCTTTTAAAGAGTTGTCCATTTTATAAATAAATGTGTATACAAAGTATACAAATTCTGACCAACATAAATATATCACATAAACTACACTTCACATAAACAGACAATTACTTAAATAAAACTAGACAGCACAGACATTACAAGTAAACAACATAGAACACAATGCTTACCATGTATATGGTACATAGGTCAGTGTAGAAATTGGAAACATCACAGTGCTGTGTATAAATCTGAGCACTACTCATACATGTCATATGAAAAGGTATTAATCCATATCCTGAATAAATAAAAATATAACATTCATAAGTCCAGTGACAGGACTATTTCACTAATTAAATAAAATACACAACTACATTTAAAATATGTAGTTTCAGAGTTCTGTATTATTCAAATACCAAATTTATCTATCTATTACTTTTAATGTAACTTTATAATATTTAAAGTACTAGAATGTTTTATATTAAAATGTTTAACATGACTCTGTGTTATTATTTAATGATTGAATCTTTTACTCTTTCATACTCAAAATATTCCTCCATTCAAATACATACATTCAATCCTTTCATAAAGTATTAAAATAACATACTATTAATTTGTTAATTAGAAATAAGGTTAATCAACTGACCTGAATATAAGAATATTGAAAATCCAAGAATATGAAGTATAATATATATAAGAAATCAATTTATCAAGCAGGTTATTTTTCACCACTGCATTTCAATATGTCTGCAGTATTAATCTCCAGAAACAAAGAAAACCTATAGTAAGGCCTAAGGCCTAAAGATTGACCAATCAAAAGGCTAGAATTTTCCCTCCAAAATGATATGACAGAAAAGAGGTTCACCAAAGGTTATGAGGTTTAATCATATTTAATATATATCAATCAAATATGACTCTGCCACAAACTCCCCCTGGATGTAAAATGACGTCCCGGTCATTTACAAGAAGGAATACATACATATAGAAATATCAATAAAAAAAATGTTCCTAAAATAAATATAATAAAATACTAATCATTAGTAATGACTGCGAGTAGTGCCTCGCCTGCTTGTCTCTCTAATCCTGAAAATAAACCATGTCTCAAACAATCAGAAATAAACTTAGCCTTTTGTTCCCACTGTTGCTGTATAGGAACAGCAACCTTGTGAACAAACTCACCTGAGCGCATCCATTCTGGTTCAAGACAGATACGTGTTGAACGTCTAGGTACAGGAACTGGAGGTAATGGTATCACAACTGGTTCTGGTTGCGTCTCTATCTCATCCTGTTGATCTCCTGAAGCGCTTCCGACGGTGCTCTGAACATCAGAATCATCTCCACTGGCACCAGTTGCAGTAGAGTGGGCGTCCCCATCTAATTATGTGTCATTCTGTACTGGAGTGTCCATATCTTGTAAAGTAGGGTCCATATGATACTGTGGAATCTAACAAGAACATCTAACTCCTCATCACTGCTCTCATAATCAGATGGCTCTGGTGATGGCTGTTCTGTTCTTTGTATCAAACTTGTTCTTGGAGGTGGTACTGGTCTGGGTAGTGGTTCTGGCTTTCTCTGAGTGATGTAACCCACAGGCAAAAGAAGATTCCTATGAAGTGTGCGTCTACGGCCCTCTCCGTTCTCCTTCTGTACGGTGTAAACTGGCACATCACTGTTAGGTTGATCGATGATAACATAGACATCATCTTCCCAACGGTCAGCTATCTTATGTTTCCCATCATAAGCTACCACTTTCACCAATACTTTATCCCCAATCTCTAAAGTAGCTCCTCTGGCTTTTAAATCATAGCCTGTCTTCTGTTTCTCTCTGGCTCTGTCTGCAGCCTTAGATGCCAACTCATAAGCTTTGACAAGTCTCTCTCTTAGTTCCTGAATGTACTTGGACTGTGGCTGTCTGACTTTATCTGTGGTTAGTCCAAATGCTATATCTATAGGCAAGTTAGGTTCTCTACCAAACATCAGAAAATAAGGTGAATGGCTGGTGGCTTCATGGCAGGTACAGTTGTAAGCATGTAGAAGTGGAGCAACATGAGTCTTCCAGTTTATTTTCTGGTGTGGCTGTAAGGTTCCCAACATGCCAAGTAGAGTCCTGTTGAACCTCTCAGTCATGCCATTTCCCATAGGGTGATAAGGTGTTGTCCTTGATTTCTGTACTCCAAGTAGCTGACAGAGTTCCTTAATCACCTTGCTCTCGAAGTTGGCTCCTTGGTCTGAGTGCAATCTCTGTGGTATGCCATAATGCACTATAAAGCTGTTAAACAGAGCTTCTGCCGTTGTTCGGGCGGTCTGGTTCCTTGTTGGTACAGCTTGAGCATAGCGTGTGTAGTGGTCAGTAATTACAAGGATGTTCTGTATGCCTCCTTTAGATGGTTCCAATGTTAAGAAGTCCAAACACACCAACTCCATAGGCTGTGATGATGAAATGTTGATCAATGGAGCTCTGTGTGGGTCTTTCTTTCTCTTGAGACATCTGTCACAGTGATTGATCCATTCATCAATATCCTTGTTCATGGCTGGCCAGTAAAATCTATCTCTGACTAAGCTGTTTGTCCTATCCCTTCCTGGATGACCCATCTCATTGTGCAATGATTCCAAAACTATAGGTACATGTGTAGATGGTAAGACTAATTGTCTAATATTCCTTCCATCTATTGTTATCTCCCTGTATAGTATGTTGTCATGCAACTGCAGCTGATCAAAATGGCGATTCAGAGAACTAGATGGTAACTGTCCTTTCCTGGGTTTAGATCCTGACTTCACAAAGTCAATCCAAGGCTTAAGATGTGTATCTGACTGTTGAACTGCAGCCCAATCAATATCATGCTCCACTTGCATGTGTAGATCAATGTTCATGGTGTTGATAACATCAGGTTCAACAACTAAAGTGTCAACATATGGTGTTCCTATGGTTCCACAAATTGCCTTGATACTGTCTAAAGATAAGGTAGCTTCCTGTGCTGGTGGTAATCTGGAAAGTGCATCAGCATCGTTGTTAATCTTTCCTGGCCTGTATGCTATGTCAAAATCATATGCTGCAAGTGCTGATAACCATCTGTGGCCTGTTGCATCTAACTTCGCTGATGTAAGTACGTAAGTTAATGGGTTGTTGTCTGTTACCACATGAAATCGGTGTCCATACAAGTAATCGTGGAACTTATCTGTAATTGCCCATTTTAAAGCGAGGAATTCCATCTTATGAGCAGGATAGTTTTTCTCAGCTTTGGTCAGTCCTCTGCTGGCATATGCAACTACTCTGAGTTTGGCTTCTTGCTCTTGATACAGCACAGCTCCTAGACCTAAACCACTGGCATCTGTGTGCAACTCAAATGGTCTGTGATAATCTGGATAAGCCAATACAGGTGCTGATGCTAAACTCTGCTTAAGCTGATTGAATGCTGTTTCTTCTTTGTCTCCCCAAGTCCAAGAGTGTTGTTCTCTTTTTTTCTTCTTTCCTGATTTTGGCTTTGGTGCTGGCATAAGATCAGTCAAAGGTCTTGCTATCTGGCTGAAGTTCCTAATAAATCTACGGTAATAACCAGCAAATCCTATAAACCGTCGAACTTCCTCCGGTGTAGTTGGAGTAGGCCAAGACATCACTTTATCTATTTTCTCAGGGTCTGTTTCTACACCATCTTTGGATACTATGTGGCCAACATACTTTACTCGTGGCATGAAGAATGAGCATTTCCCAGGTGATAACTTCAGGTTGTCTTCCCGGATTCTATCAAATACTAGCTTCAGTCGCTTCAGATGTTCTTCATGGGAGTTGGCAAAAATAATGACATCATCAATAAAGATACAACAGATGTTCATATGGTAATCGCTGAGGCATTCTTGCATGAGGCGTTGGTAAGTAGCTGGTGAGTTTGTCAAACCGAATGGCATGCGGTTGTACTCATACAATCCAAGCGGACCTACAGTAAATGCTGTTCTTTCCTTATGTACTTCCAATATCTCGACTTGATGGTAACCACTTTTCATATCGATGACTGTAAAGTATGAATTCCCTGCTAAGCGATCTAGAATGTCCTCTATACGTGGCAAAGCATATGCATCTTTTTTCGTATGGTTATTAAGTTGACGAAAATCCACACACATTCGTAGAGAGCCATCTTTCTTCTTGACGAGTACTACGTTTGATGAATACGGGCTGTGCGACTTCCTTATAATCCCTGCTCTCAACAACTGGTAAATGTGAGCCTTTACTTCCTCATACATGGATGGCGGTATGCGTCTATATCTCTGTTTAAAAGGATGGGTATCGTTAAGTTCAATCTCATGTTGTACCAGATGTGTATGTCCAACATCAATATCGCACTTAGAAAAGATGTCGCTGTATGATGTTATGAAGTTCTTTCCTCTCTCAAGTTCATCAGATGACAAGTTCTTTACATCAACCTTTACTTGTTCCAAAAGTGGATTGGTAAAATCTGTACTAGATAAATCAGGTTGGTCTTGAATATCTACTGGTTGTAATTGAGCAATCACTGCCTTAGGTGGAAAAGTAACAGTTCTAGTTGTTATGTTGCTGATGTTCACATCTACTCTTTGGCTGATTCCATACTTGTAACTAATTAAAGATGGTGCAATATCTAAGTCATCTGGTATGACTGACTGTAATGTTTGTTGTACCATGGCAGATGTTGGATGATAAGGTAAAGCTTTATCAATGTAACCAGTTATACATATGTTGGAATTCGGTGGTATGGTAATTGGTCTCTGTTCTGCATTCTGAATGACTGCCAATTGATTCTTGTTCCTTTGTAGCTCCTTCTCTCGCAAAGTAATACAGCGGAATGATGTATACCATGGTGTGGTTAACTTAGCAGACTGTAAAAATTTATTTCCATGTCGTTGACGACAACTATCCATGATGTTTGTAAGTAAGTTGGTACCCAGTAGGAGTGGTACAGCTGAGTTGTATTCACTGTCAGGAACAACCAAAAATATACAAGTGTGGTGTTGATCTAGCTGTTTAATATATAAATCCACTTCTATATATCCAATATAAGGTAAAGATTCACCATCTGCACACTCAATCTTTAGTAGTTGACTGAAGGTCTGTATCGGTATATGTTGAAGATGTTGGTTGTAGAATGACTTACTAACTGTAGAAACGGTTGATCCAGTGTCTAATAAAGAAGTTGATTCTATTCCTTCCAAAGTAACTTTTGTTTCAGTCGGTGAACCACAAAGTCCAGGTGGTATCTTGCTAGATGCTGTACTTCTACAAATCTGCTGTATGGGGCTGCTATCAGAACTGTCTACATCCCGCCCCTTGGCGTATACTCCCTGGCGTTTAAATGTTGAAACTGAGCTGGCTTATTGGCACATCCTCTTGCAAAATGTCCCTCTTGACCACATTTCCTACAGTATATAGGTCTCTGCCTCTCATATGTGGGTTGCTGTCCTTCAAATGCAGGTTGCTGTTTTTCATATGCGGGTTGCTGTTTCTCATATCCTTGACCATTCCATCTACCTGTTGTATAATTACCTTGGAAATTACCTCTTTGATTTCCTCTATAATTATTGCCTCTATAGTTTCCTCTATAATTATTGCCTCTATAGTTTCCTCTACTTTGTCCTTGGTACTGGTTCTGATTTTGATGTTGTTGCATACCAGTTTCAATTCTGTCTAATCTAGATGTTATTACATTCATGAATCCTGTAAAACTTTCTTCTTGTTCATTATCATGATCATTATCATCATCATCAGTATTCTTGCTCACAGCCTTCTTTGATGTTCCCTTTGTTGTAGTTTTCAATGTAGGCATATCTATGATGTTATCCTTTTCTATCCTACGTAAAGCAACGTGCAAAGAATCAAATGTTGTATATTTCTCTTTCTCGTAATGGCTAATAGCTTTCAAATTCTGGCGTAGTCCTTTCCATAGCATATCGTGTAACATTTCATCCGCTTCCGATCTTTTTACTTTGTCTGTCTGCAATGCCTTTTCTAATATATCTTCCAATCTAAAACTCCATGCAGAAAAATCTTCATCTTCATGTTGGGTGGCATTGTAGAATTCTCGCATGACAGATTCATTTTCCTCTACTACACCAAATACGCTGTCCATCTTCTGTAATATTGCTGATAATTCTGCATGTGGACCAATACGCATCACTACTTTCCCTGCCGGATCCTTCAATGATCTCCGTACTGACTGAGTTATTAACTCCTTGCTGTGGGTTTTGTCGTTGATAAGACATACTAGTTCGTATCTCCACAAATCATATGTTACTTCTCCACTTCCTAACTTATCCTTTCCTGAAAAGTATGGTAATCTTGGTGGATTGATGTAAGTAGATGTTGGTTTTATTCCTGCTTTTACGTCAGATTTATCCTCCTTTACTAATGATGACATTAAATCCTTTATGTTCTGTGGTATTTCTGACGGTTTTTCTCCTAAGGTTTGCAGTGCCTTAGCAAGGTCCTCGAATCCACTCATGATGATGTTGTATGTATATATATATCCTGTTCTATAAATAATTCCTAGTGTCGTACAAGAAAATGTAAGATGAGACTACAAATACCTACAATTCAAACAAACTACCACTAAGTATAAATATGAAAACACCAACAGGTGTATAAAGAAGGAAATAGAAAGAAGAAAGAAAAAATAATTGTACTAAGTACTGAATAGACAAACACCTAAAGGTGTAAAATAAAGAACAAAATAAATATCAGTCAAAACTGAATCAAAATCAAATGTCTGAAAAAAAAAATAATAAAGTACTAATGATATATATAAAGTATCAACTAAATAAGAAAATATACTAATGAAATATAATGTATAAATAAGAAAATGTGAAATGAAAAACTCAAGTGAAGTTACCAACTATCAAGTAAACTTACTATAAATCAATAGATGTAATGTAAAATAGCAAAATAGTAAGAGTTATTTCCCTTTACCTAGGAGAAATACTAAACTAATACCTGAGTAAATGAATGTATACAATGAATTACCTCCCCTGAATATGAAACTAACTGTAACAATCTACAAAAAAAAAATAAGTGTATTAGGATTATCTCCCCTGATACCAAATCATCTACAAAAGATATAAATATAATATATTAATTATCTCCCCTTATAATAACCAATAAGAACAAAAAAAAAAAAAATAATATATATAAATACCTAGTAAGTATCAACAAATGTATAGGTAATGTAGTGCAGTAAATAATATATATAACTAAAGCATGTATACTAAAGTACTATATACTTAACCTTTGTCTCTCAATATACCATATATGTATCGCTCAATGTTATATATCACATATAACCTATGTCTCGCAAAACCTAATGTGTGACTCACAATACCGTATGTCTCGCTTACCTTTTCACACACATAAAATAAATAATATACTAATACTGCTGCACCTGAAAAGGGCTTGGGTACTTTTATTAAACACTCAACACATATAATACTATGAATTCAAATTAATCACACTGAATTATAGCAACTCCAAGTAAAGTGTAACAAGTAACTATACTAAAATAGCTTGCAAAAGCACAAGTCAGTAGACTAAAGTTCCAAGTTAACTATCAACTCCAGTATGAAAAGTACAACTGTTCAATCACAATAGATCAACTAAGTGTCAGGTAGTACTAAACAGTAAAGTATGAAAAGGGATTAGTAAACTAAACTGTAACTGAATAGGTAGGTATCACAATCTCAAAGTACAAACAATCATTCACAGACACATACACACAATTATACTAAGTGCCTAACCTAATCAAATCCCTATTTATCAAACAAAGTTTACGTTTAATAAATAAAAGAAAATTAAAAAAAAAATGTTAACTACTATGTAAACAGTAAACCTATATTCAAGTACACATGTACTGAGACACAAAGTACACTAATGTCAAGGTCACACAAACAATATACAAGTAGAATAATATGATACACAAAATTAATTTACACAACACAAGGACAACACAATGTTAAACACAAATATTTACTAACACATGTAATACAAATACAAAACACACACACAATATACTATGAAATGTGTTTCTTGACTGTAAACGACAACAAAGTATGTATCAGCTTTCTATTTCACTGCCTGTAATACTATGTTGAATATCAACAAGTCAAAGAACACTAAACATGCAAACAAACAAATGAAATTCTTTGAGCTTACTGTATAAATCAAATTATATTACTATATATTGCTCAATGAAATGTCAAGTCAACCAAATATACAGGTATAATACAGTAAACAAGCAAATGCTATGTCTACAAATGCAGTTTTCAATTTTGGATTTCAACAGCTGATTATGTTTCAAGTTATTACTACATGTACTTTCACACAATATATACTATGTCAACACAAATATGTAGGGGGATATATATTCTCACCAAATAGGTATGTCTTTCAATCACAAATAATAAATACACAATGCAAAAGCATAAATGTTCACATCATCACTGCAAAACTGTGTTGATTTTCTCATTTGTCCATGTGAAACAATCACTTCCGGTTCACGGTTCATTCCAGGTCACAGCTTCTGTGAGGCTCCAAACGATAAACCTTTGTGGGCGCCAAATGTAACGGGGTATTTTCTAGGTAAATACAACACAAACGATGATCTAGGGTTCTTTTCTTTTAATACACTATATTTAGACCCTAAAACATATAACAACAAATAATAAATATTCACATGACAAGACAGTACATGTAACATATGGGCAAAGGGGAATAACTACAATTTATACTCATTCCTTTAAATATCTATATACTCAAATAAGCCCTTTACTCACAAAAATCTAACCCTTTAGTTAACTTTCCAATACAATATTCATATGGATCTCATAGTAATAAATAATTATATACATCTCAAATCTTTTAAAGAGTTGTCCATTTTATAAATAAATTTGTATACAAAGTATACAAATTCTGACCAACATAAATATATCACATAAACTACACTTCACATAAACAGACAATTACTTAAATAAAACTAGACAGCACAGACATTACAAGTAAACAACATAGAACACAATGCTTACCATGTATATGGTACATAGGTCAATAAATAGCTCTTTCAAAATTGAAGAAGTAATAGGCATTCTAATATGACGTGCTTCTTTCGCTTTGTAAACAACACCATGATAAAATTCTCGATATATCTATACTTAGCGCAGATTCAGAGATGTACATGATAATGGCTGTTACAATATACCTCACTCGTAAATCCACATGTATCGTAACCTATGTGCAAAGGCTATGCCGATTTCTCTGTGTTAAAAATTACAATTGAAAAAACGACAGAACCTTTATTCTTATTCTGATCCATAACAAAAAGAATTAACGCATGAGAGCTCGGAAAAATGTACAAAATCAAAATAAAATAAAATTCAGCGAAATTCCATTAAAGCTTTTGGTGCATTAAAGTCATTTCAAAACATGACGTCAAACAAACGAATGAAAAGGCTAAAGCTGAAGGTTTTTCCGTTACGTGAACCCTCCAAAATTCTGATAATATTGCATTAGAATGGAGTTTTGAGTTAGGTGTTGTTTTATTTTCTATTCTTTTGCATTATTCGCACATTCACTGATTTCAGCAAGTCCACATGGCGGCTTCTTAGTTACGAAATGTCAAATGTGGATTTGACAATAGCTTACGAGAAAAAAATGTAAATTAAATATGGCAATTGTTGTGGTTGAGAATTAAAAGAATTAAACACATTTTTTCTAGTGGTTATTAGGCCCCTGCCGTAGCGGAGGAGGCATTAAGTTTTACCCTGTCCGTCTGTATGTCCGTACGTCCCAAAGTTGGTTTCCGTTCTCTTAACTTTAGTTTTCTTAATCAAATGTTATGAAACTTATACACAATGCTTATTACCACAAAACACAGATCAAATTTGAATTTTACTGGTCGAGCACAAAATATGGTCTTTTCAGACTCAGAGCAGTTTGTAGTGATATTTCATCTAATTTATTCTTCCCGCTAAGTGAACTACCTCAGCGTGAGTCCAAGCATTTCTTTGTGACAATTAAAAGGTTAAAGTCAGATGGCATATCAGATCACCTATTGCTACAACCAAGAACACAACAGTAGTCCGTGTTAGAATCTTTTTATGTGTCGGTGTTGATACAGTTGTCTTGTCAATATAAATTTTGTTTCAAATGCCCCTCGCGTTGCATGTACATATAAACGCAAACACTTAATCAGGTGATTGTTTTTCCAGCTCTGCATGGTCACTGCTTATCAACTGTAAGCCCCCAGTTGATGAATTCTTGGAAAATATTGTATGATTTCATAGTTTGGCTAATTAGGTTAGACATGCACTGTTAATTGTGAAACTAGTGTATTGATTTTCCACTTTACAAAATTGTTGCAAATGGTGAACATAACAAACTGTTTGGTTTTTTACAAAGCCATTTTATTTGTTTATGATTAAATGCCTTTGAAATATCCCATTATATTCTTGCAACAATTTCAATATGCACAATAAGGGTGTATCTTGCGCTCTTGGCGCGGCTCGCGCCTGTTTATTACTTAGATTTCATGGTTTTCTGAGCAGGTTCAAGTTTTAGTTTAAGGTAGCTAAATTACATGAAGTTGTTTGTCACATTAATTTGGAAACTTAGTACACCTGTTCATTTATATGAAGTGAACTTTCTAAAATATATTTTTAATAAGGGTTTTTATCCAGAATTCATAAGTCACTAATCATCTAAAAATTTTTGTTAAAGGTAGTTTGATATGAAGTTGTGGTCATGTAAACTTGATACGTAGTACATCTGTTCATTATGATATGAATTTTTATGGTTCACTGAATATGGAAATGTGATTGTGACAATTGACATGCTGTCCTATTGAAACGTATTCTTGTATATTGTATGTAACATATAGATAAATATTTAAGGGATGTTTAACATTAAGTTTTAGGAATATTGTATTTCAGGTACTTTCCCATAAATATAAGGATTAGCTGAATTCATCTCGATTTTAGGCCTAGTTAGTACCTCATTATTGCTAATTTAATTATTTTCTATTTTAGATTATTCATATAGACTATAAAGATTATCCAGAGATGACACATGTTGTTTTGATTATAACATCTGGTCCAAATCAGGTTAGAACTGGCCTAAATCAGGTTAGAACTGGCCCAAATCAGGTTAGAACTGGCCCAATAACACCATTTTCCTAATTTAACCCTTTGATTTTCATTGTTTACAAATAAAGTTCCTAGTGTTGATAATCTAATTAAAATTAGTTCTCCGCACTTGCTCCTCATTTTGTTCCATTGTTTATATGTTGCGTGTGGGACGTATAAACAACCAAACGAAAATGAGGAGCAAGTGCGGAGAACTAACTTTAATTAGATTGTAGTGTTGACAGTATATTGCTTGCAAAATTTTTTCATACACTTTTTAGATTTATTATCCCCCTCTCATCACACAGCGGGGGATATGGTAATGGTCTCTGTCCTCTGTCAATCTGAAACACATAAGTACTCAGAGACTTTTTGACATAGAGCTTTCATACTCGGTAGGATAATTTGTTGTCATATTTTCTTGATCATGCGTTATTATCAGTCGACTTTTTTGAAATTTTTATCTGAGTTATGGAAATTTGACCATTTTAATATTTATTGTTTACATAATGACAACACAGAACTCCTCTGAGTCCATCTTACAGAAAGCTCTCATACTTATTAGGGTTGTTTGCCATCATGTGTAGTTGACTATATTGTACAGTCATTTTGATTCAACCATTGTTACAGGAGTTATGAGACTTTGACTATTTTTTGGAGTATTGTGACAATAGCACCTTGTGAAAGCAACTTCTCTGCCACCATATGACAGAAAGCTCTCATACTTGGTATTAATGTTTGCCATCATGTGTAGATACCTTAATATACCTTCATTTTGATCCGACCATTTTTATGTGAGTTATGGGTCTTTCACTATTTTTTTGTCCCCCACGTAACGCGTTGTGGGGGACATGGAAATACTGGGCGTCCGTGTGTCTGTCCGTCCAGTCTTGTTTGCGCTCTCACAGGTACAATTCTTACCAGATTTTAATAAAACTTATATTATAGGTTAATATCAGCAATATCTTGGACAAGTTCTATAATGGTGGCCGATCGACTTTTTTTAAAAGAGTTATGCCCCTTGGAAATATTTAATTTATGGAAAATGGCCTCGTTAGCGCTCTCATGGGTACAATTCTTGCCAGATTTTTATAAAACTTACACTATAGGTTAATATCAGCAATATCTCGGATAAGTTTTATAATGGTGGACGATCGACTTTTTTTAAAAGAGTTTTGTCCCTTGGAAATATAAAATATGTGTAACGCGAGGGACATTGGAACTCTGTTCTTTTATTTAGCATTGTTTTAGTGTCACTTTGTGAATGCTACTGCTCTGAGACCATTTGACAGAAAGCTCTCTGACTTGGTAGGATTGTTTGCTATCATGTGTAGTTGACCATAATATGCCGTCATTTTGATTGGACCATTTTTATGGGAGTTATGGAATTTTGACCAGTCGCAGTATGTGAGACATAGGTATTACAATCCAATCGCAACCTGCTGTATTAATGCTTTAGCCGAATACTGTCTAAATAGACCAGCTACAGTCGCAACCTGCTGTATTAATGCTTTAGCCGAATACTGTCTAAATAGACCAGCATAAAACTGTCAGAAACAAAGCTCAGGACTCTTGAAAACTGTTTATAAAGGGAATATAGTTCTCTTGCCAAGGGCACCTTTTAAATTGAAGTGGACAGTATTTTGTATCATTAAACATTGTGTTATGGTGACTTGACAAATACTGATATATCTGTCTTAGTACAATTTACATTGTCCAAATTTATGTCACTCTATTTTTGTTGTGATTAATAAAAAGTACAAAGCCTATTAACATCAATCCATATCACCACAATAAATCTCAACATACTATGAAGTTTTTTTTACAGTACTAGTTAAACCTTTATTCAGTTTAGAATTATATTTTAATGCCTCTGCCGTAGCTGAGGGGGCATTAAGTTTTACCCTTGTCTGTCTGTACGTATGTACAACCCAAAATTGGTTTCCGCTCTCTAACTTAAGTTTGCCTCAACCAAATGTTATGAAACTTATACACAATGCTTATTACCACAAAACACAGATCAAGTTTGAATTTTGGTGGCGTCATTTTTACAGTTCTAGAGTTATGCCCCTTTACAAATGGAAAAATTGCTGAATTTTTCGTTTCCGTTCTCTAACTTTAGTTTGCCTCAACCAAATGTTATGAAACTTATACACAATGCTTATTACCACAAAACACAGATCAAGTTTGAATTTTGGTGGCGTCATTTTAACTGTTCTAGAGTTATGCTCCTTTACAAATGGAAAATTTGCTGAATTTTTCGTTTCCGTTCTCTAACTTGAGTTTGCCTCAACTAAATGTGAAACTTATAAACAATGCTTATTACCACAAAACTCAGATCAAGTACAAATTTGGGTAGCGTCACTTTTACAGTTCTTGAGTTATGTCTCTTTATAACATTATATGCAAGCGGGGGCATCATTTGTGTCCCATGGACACATTCCCCATTTATTTTTTCAAATAAAGTTAAATGAAATATTCACTGAATCGTACTTAGGAAAAAAGAAAGATCTAAATTCCCAGAAAAATGAAGAATTCTTTTCCAGATCCCAAATATTAATAATTAATTCCAGAGTCCTGATAAGTGTAAATCCTGAATTTTCGCAAAAATCCATGTTTCGAAATAAAAGGTCCTTCTGAAGGTGCTGAAAATCTTCAGGATTACCTCAAAAGACAATACAGTACAAATCAACAGTAAGCTTTGTGAACAATTTAGTAAATGTATTAACAAGATGTGAAGAGCAGATAATAAGACTTTGAATTAATAGTATAGTATTGCATGTATTCAAATTATTTAGTCAAACACTGAGCACACTGTGGGACAGATACTACAAAGAAACATCCAAGATATAATTACTTGATTGTGATTGAATATTTCTGCACAGACATGTTGTTGTTATTTTTTTACTTCTTTGTTTTCACCAAATATATGCAAGATCTTTGATCTGTTTTGGCAAACTTTCAAAATTTGCTCAGAAAAAGTAAGACTTATTTTCTTTCTTGGGAAATTATACAATGCATATATCAACACCATGAATTATTTATAGGTTGAGGTGATGGGTGATTCCTATAACAAAGATTACAGACATCTGTCTTATAAACTGCCTTCAGTTCCAGACATATTGATGACCTATCCAGAGAGTGTCACAAAGGGAGTCAGTGTTCTCACATTATATAATGATTCCCTTTTTTACAATTTACAACTGAAAGGATTGGACAGTGTACTGAGAGCTTATACTGCTAAACTTGTACCTAAACACTGCACTTCTAATAAAGGTAAAATTTTACTGCTAAATTGATGCCTCAACACTAGACTTAATACAGATATGATATTTATAATGGTCTTTCCCTTCACCTACTGTGGTTTCATCTATTTTTGTGGAGACAAGCTTTCATGGATTGAGAAATGATTTTATATTCGAGGATATTTGATTTCGTGGTTTTGCCAAAGTCGTCATAGAAGCATAAAGAAAATGTGTATTTCGTTGAACATTTTGATTTGTGGTTCACGTATACCCACGAAATCAACTAACATTGGTACCCCACGAATAATAATGAATCCTTAGTATATTACCCTGCTATTTCACAATGTCTCAGAAGAAATTATCAGTGATGCCAAAATGTGTGAGGAGACGTTATCAAGCTTGTTTTCGTCAAGCGTAAAACTGTCTTAGGGAGGGGGGAAAGACCAGAAATAGAGCGATACTCAGGTTTTCTATGTATAGATATAGTAAAATATCAGCTGCTCACCAAAATGTGAAGCTTTTTTGCTCATTAAATGTTTTGTTCATTTGAATAAAAGGTTCACATTGTGGCAAGGCTGATATTTTACAATATCAATGTGTCAAAAACCCAATAATCTATACTTTTCTAAAGCATAAGGGAAGTTCAGTCACTTCAAATAGATGTATTGTGAAAGTACTTTTATTCATGGGTATCAATTTTCGTAGTTTGAGCCAAAATTACATGTTCGTGGGTTCTTTAATTCTTAGGTTTTAGTTTTCTAAAAAAAATCTAAAGAAGAATTTGAAGCAATCAGAAACGTCCAGCGGCAAATAAATATGCATAATCAGGACGAGAACATTTTAATGTAATTATATGAATATTAACTTGCTTTGTACTAGACCGACATGCTGAGCCGGATTCTAACGTGCTAGTTCACAAGGTAACTGGCACAGTGAGTGAGTGAGTCTGCAAGAAGACATGTCACTTTACCCAAACACATTATTCTGACTCTGTGCCGACAAGTCTTTGCTCTTACTCCTTAATGCTGCATGCTTAGCGGAAAAGTAGCAAATACCAATTTAAAGTCTTTGGTTTGACCCATCCGGGGTTCGAACCCAAGACCTCCTGCACTTGAGGCGAACACACTACCACGAGACCACCGAGGGGGTCATCAGAAACAAAGATTCTTGAAAATAATCATGTTTGCCATCATGTGTTAAGTTTACCATAATATACTGTCATTTTGAAATTACCATTTTTAAACGACCGCAAAAAAGTTGCATTCGTATATTGCTATCACTTCGTCTTCATCCAAAGACATTTGGTTTCCGGACAATAACTTTATTTTAAGTGTATGGATCTCTATGAAATTAAACAAAAGGTTCACTACCACAATAGGAAGGTTGGGTTTGTTTTTGGGGGTGATGGTCCCAACCGTTTAGGAATAAGGGGCCAAAAAGGGACACAAAACAAGCATTTTTCTAGTTTTAGGACACTTACTTGTGTTTAAGTATTTTGATTGCTCTGAAATTGTACCACAAGGTTCAATACCACAAGTAGAAGGTTGGGATTCATTTTGTGGGTAATTGCCCAAACCGTTCAGGAATTAGGGGCCAAAAAAAGCATTTTTCTTGTTTTCAGACAATAACTTGTGTTTAAGTGTATGGATGTCTCTTAAATTGTACCAAATTTTACAAAAAGAAAAAAGAAAATTTCTTCAAATATTATTTTTTTTGGAGGGGTGGGGGGGTTAAGAAAATATAATTTTTTTGGGTGGGGTCAATTTTTTTCTCCACAAGATTTAAGAAATTATCAATTTTACATTATTTGTTTTGGAAGGGGGGGTAACAAAAAATTTTTGGGTGGGGCCCCCAGGGGGGGGGGAGGTCAATTTTTTTTCATCAAGATTTAAGAAATTATCCATTTTCCAAAAAAAAATTCAGGGTCACAATTTATTTTGCTAATTCTTTGTATATAGTCTGAAAACAGATTTATTAAGTATTGCGCAACAGCACAGTGTATTTCACAACAGCACAGTGTATTGCACAACAGCAAGAAATCTTCAATTGAATATTCAAATCATATAACCAATTTCAAGTTCTTTGACTACATTTATCCTGTGTCAGAAACCTATAATGTGGCAAATATTTAATTACAATCCAAATTCAGATCTCACAAAACATGTTTAACCAAGTTAATCTTGTATGTTTTTATGCCCCTGCCGTAGCAGAGGGGGCATTAAGTTTTACCCTTGTCCGTCTGTACGTACGTACACAATGCTTATTACCACAAAAAACAGATCAAGTTTGAATTTTGGTGGCATCACTTTTACCGTTCTAGATAGAGTTATGCCCTTTTACAAATGGAAAAATTGCTGAATTTTTCGTTTCAGTTCTCTAACTTTAGTTTGCCTCAACCAAATGTTATGAAACTTATACACAATGCTTATTACCACAAAACACAGATCAAGTTTGAATTTTGGTGGCGTCACTTTTACCATTCTAGAGTTATGCCTCTTTCCGTTCTCTAATTTTAGTTTGCCTCAACCAAATGTTATGAAACTTATACACAATGCTTATTACCACAAAACACAGATCAAGTTTGAATTTTGGTGGTGTCACTTTAACCATTCTAGAGTTATGCCCTTTAGAAATGGAAAAATTGCAAAATTTTTATTTTCTTCTAAATATCTAGTAATTTTTATACGACCGCAAAAAAAATTTTGTGGTCGTATATTGGTATGACGTTGGCGTCGTCGTCTTCGTCGTCCGAAGACGCATTAGTTTTCGCACTCTAACTTTAGTTTAAGTGAATGGATCTCTATGAAATTTTACCATAAGGTTCAATACCTCAAAAGGAAGGTGGGGATTGATTTTGGGGGTTATGGTACCAACAGTTAAGGAATTAGGGGCCAAAAAGGGGCCAAAAATAAGCATTTTCTAGTTTCCAGACAATAACTGTGGAACGGTGTATGGATCTCTCTGAAATTATACTACAAGTTTCTATACCACAAAGGGATGGTTAGGATTTGCTTTGGTGGGTTATGGCTCAAACCGTTTAAGAATTAGGGGCAAAAAAGGGGGAAAAACAAGGTTGTCCTGGTTAATGGACAAATACTTTAGTACAAAACATAATTTAAAGCAGTGTAAGGGAGATAAATCAAATACATCATTGAAATTATCTCCCTTACACTGCTTTTAAATTATGTATAAAGTAATGGTTAATGAACAATTAAGATAATTTAAAACAGTGTAAGGGAAGTAACCCAAATACAATAAAATTGGAATTATCTTAATTTGTCCATGATTATAGTTGAATCAACTACAATCAATGCTTTATACAATGCTATGTTTAATTTTGACTTCCACTGATAAAACACAGATCAAGTTGAATTTGGGTAGTGTCACTTTAATCATTATTGAGTTATGCCCTTTATAAATCGAAAGATTGCAAAATTTTTAGTTTCCATTCTGTAACTTAAGTTTGGGGGTTATGACCCTAATGGTTTAGGAAAAAGGGTGCCAAAAACAATACTTTTCTGATAATTTGTATAAATTGCTTATTTCTTGACCTATTTCAATGGGGTTTAATTCAAAGTCTACAATTCTTGGGGTTCATTGATATGCTGAATCTAACTGTGTATTTAGAATTTTGATTTTAGGCCACATTACGGTCTAAAGGGTCCATAATTTAACTTTGTTTGATTTCAGCAAAAATTGAATTCTTGGGGTTCTTTGATCAGTCAGAATTCTACTTCGTCAAAATTATCTCCCACTTACGCCATCTAATTTTTACAACCCTTGAAATAGAAACCATTGCAGGAATGACCCGCTGTCAATAAAGCTCTTGAAAAACAATAAATTTATTCACATAGCATCATTACGATCCTTATATGCCAGTTGTATTTTAAAAGACAAATGTATCTACTAGCTATTGAGCATCATTTAATGTACTTTTATGCCTTTGGTCAACTTTAAAATTATTGTCTGATCAGTTGTCAGGGGGAATTTTCGAAAGTTCAAAAACATTAAAAAAATTCTAATTAAATATTTCTTGGAAGAGCAGACGAAGAAAAATTCAGAGGTTAAAGACTAATAACCCTAGATATCACACAAAAAATGATGTTTTTTTGAAGTTATTCATTTTTACGATCCACTTGTAAAGTCTGTCGTCAAGTAATTTTAGTAAAAAATTGTTATTCAAACACACCTACTCTGTTGTTATGACTCATTAGAAAGGTATTTCACTTGAGCCATATATTTAATTTTTTAAAACTGTGAATTTTTAATGTTATTATATATCAACCTGTAGTTTAGGTATATAAAAATAATAGAATCTGAAGCAAGATGAATGTACCAAATAAATTTGCTTTATACGTTTTCAAGACTAAATAGTCAACAAAAACACGCCTGAACATATAAAGGTGTACTCGACTTTCTCTTTTTGATGGAATTATTGCCCATTTTTAGAAATTTTTTCCCCAAAACTGTCACCAGGGGCAGAGATGCAAGTTAATGCTTTAAAAAGATCAATCTATTATCTTTTTGTTGAATTTTTTTTCGATTGAATTTATGCTTATACACAAAAAAGATCCATTTGCACCTTCAACAATTGACTGTCTTGTGAAAATTTGTTTTTAATTTAAAGATTTACAATTATCTCAAAGCTCCATACTATAATTTAAGAAAGAACACATATATAAGATGCATAAAATCCTAAATTATGCACCTTTATTAAACTTTTAAAGCCCATAGAAACAGATGTAAACAATTCAAACATACCAACTTGGATTTTTATAACTTCTCTAATAAAGAGTTCCATTTCTTTTGTTTAATTTCAACTGGGTATCCACCTGTGATATGTCTAATCTAACCATGTATTTAGATTTTTAAATTTTGGAGTTGTTTTCAAATTGGTCCACATGTAGGTCCAAAGGGTCCAAATTTAAACTTGATTTTAACAAAAATTGAATTCAAGGGGTTCTTTGATATGCTGAATCTAAACATGTATTTAAAATTTTGGGTTTGAGCCCAGTTTTCAAGTTGGTCAAA